TCCCAGCGGCGCTCATTTTGGTGGTCTTGTGCCACTCGCGGGCGAGCCCGAAGTCTGTGATCTTGAGCACCGTGTCTGCAAGGTTGTGGTTCTCGATGGCCTCCAGGATAAGGACTGGGAGTGGAGAGGGAGAGAAAGATGGGTCACCCACACCTGTGTGGCTGCAGACCTGAGCATCCTGGCCTTTGCTCTGCTCTGTCCCCTCTAGTGGCCACACTCTGTGGTAGCTGTTTCAGCCTGGAACTCCATGCAGCTAGCTGAATCCCTGCCCCAGGCTCCCAGAGTAGGGAGGAAGCCTCCCTCAAGTCCTCTGCTCTCCCAACTCCAACTTGAACTCTGGGGAACTCGATGAATGAACCAATGGCCAAGGCCTTGATTCTCTTTGTTTTAGGCCTTGACTTCCAAACTAGCCTGGAAGTGGGCACTGCCAACCATAGGCAGAAAGGAGAATGTGGTTTTCCTTTTGTCTCTCACCCTGGTGGTATCCTGTAGTCAGGGCCCTGATGCCACCCCTTCCTGTGTCCACTCTGCCCTGTGACTTTGCAGCCCTTCCACTACCAAGGCAGAATGTGTTTCCCCATGTTTTGACTCTGGGATTGTCATATGATTTGCCTTGGCCAAGAAGGAGATGGACACGACAGGGTGTCACTTCCATGCCTAGCCTGTAAGAGCCTCTGGTGTATCTGCCATCACTGTGACAACATGCCTCAGCTGGTCAGAGGAAGATGGAGAGAACTGGAGCAATGCCTCTCCAGTGGAGCCCAGCTAAACTGCTTTACCTCTAGCTGGCCTACAAGTGCACTGGCAGTGATAGATGATTGTTATGTTAAGAGACTGAGTTTTCAGGACAGTTTGTTACGCAGGATCACTGTGAAAAAATCTGACTGATACATTCCTCAAGCATACTGAATGGCTCCAGCTCACCTACTGCCTTGGGTTATTACTAACAATGATCACAGCCATGGCTAGCATTTGTACGAAGCTAAGTCTTTTACAAGAACAGACTCACAAGCGACCTATTTTTACTAGCTAGCAAACAGAGGCTCAGAAAAGTCACTTGGCTGAGATCACATGGCTAGGAAATGGCAGGTCAAAGATCTGAACTATTTCTGTTGTCAGAGCCCAGTGTCTTAGCTGCTATGTTATTTTACTTCTTCTACTATCTCTCCTCTGTTAAACAGGGATGATGACAGCATTTATCTTTAGGGTTATATAGTACAGATTTATTGCCTGAGACACTAAGTCCTGTAATAGTTATAATAAAATGTGATTATTGTTGGCATGTGAGGTTGACAAATTGTTCCTTATATCTCCACCTTCACCTTTTAATATCCCTGGTTACTTCCCCAGCCATAACAACAATAAGAGGTAACTTCACTGCCACACCTGTTTGACACACCTTCACCTTCCCAGACACCCTCCCTTCTTGGGTCTCCATATCTCCTGTTTATGGAGAAACTATATGACAAAGAGAACACCCCTGGTCGTACACTTCATTTCTGCATCTCCCAGGCTGGGCCTACAACACTCTCCTTTAAAAATCTGTATCTGACCATGTCCACCACTACCTAAAACCTAATGGTTTCCACTACATCAAATAAAATACCCAGGGTCCTCAGCATGACCCCCAAGGTCCTTTGTCGTCTGGCCCCTGCCTACCTTTCTGATCTTAGCTTCTCCCACCTGTTTCAACTCCTGCTGTCATGATCTTGCTGTTTCTCCACAGAGGTACACTCACTCCCACCTCAGGATATCTGCCCTGCTGTCTTGTTCCTACCCTGATCTTTGTAAGGCTGGGGGTCCTTTTGGTTTGGGTCTCTGCTCAAATAATTTTTTTCTTAACCGCCTGACCCAAAGAGCTCCATTTGCTGTACCCTTACTCTATGTTATTTCCTTGTGAGCCCCTGGTACTCTCTGAAATTCTGTTATCTATGTATGTATCTACCTACCTACCTGTTATCTATTCCTGTTTCCTAGAACCTAAATTCAATAATAGGGGAGTGGATCTTGCTTTGTTCACTACTGTAATCCTAGAGCTGAGGACAATAGATGCTTAAGAATTATTGAACCATGCCAGGCCTGGTGGTGCATGCCTGTAATCCCAGCACTTGGGAGGCTGAGGCAGAGGATCACCATGAATTCAAGGCCAGCCTGGGCTCCATAGTGAGTTCAAGGCCAACCTGAACTATATAGCAAGACTCTGTCTCAAAAAAAAAAAGTATTATTGAACCAAGGCACCAGAATAGAAGTTCACTGGGAAAGGATGAATGGGAAAGCAGTGCCATAAAGCTTCTTTGTTGTCTGTCTTAGGCATGGAGTAATCTCATTGTACCAGGAGGAAGCCCTGACTTTAAGAGTCCTACCCAATCCAGGGGTGGAAACCTGAAATTCTAACACTCCAGAGGCTGAGGCAAGAGGATGGCAAATTTGAGAACAACCTGGGCTCCACAGTAAGACCCTGTTTCCAAAAGACCAGAAAGAAAAAAAAGAGACAGAGAAAGCTGGGTGCACACCTGTACTCTCAGCACACTGGGAGGCTGAGGCAGGAGGATCAAAAGTTTGAGCCCAGGCTGGGCAACTTAGCGAGACCTTGTCTCAAAATACAGTGGCACCTCGATTTACAAACTTAATTCTTTCCACAGTTTTGGTCACAAACTGATTTGGATGAGAACCAAATCAAATTCAATAGTTCGGGTCCATGTTGACCTTATGGGGAAATTTGATTCCATTCTCATCTAATTCAGTTTGTAACCAGAATCATGGAAAGAATTAAGTTCGTGAATCAAGGTACCACTGTAAAAAATAAAAAGGGCTGGAGATGTAGCTCAGTGTCAAGGCTCTGGGTTCAATCCCTGGTACAAAACAAACAACTCCACCTACCCTTTGTCCAGGTTGTGCTGGTGACAGAAAAACTCGGGGCATGGGTCATGTGGCGAATTAGCAGGGTTGAGGAAAGACAAAAATAGGAGTCCTAGCCTCCAAGAGCATGCTGGCAGTCCTACCTCCATTCACCAGCACTAAGAGGAGCTGGAATGTGGGCATCAATGAAAGCAGGGGCCACCTACCTGCAACTGTCTTGTTTAGTCCCCTTGCCTGGACATGGTCTGGACATGTTACGGGCACTTGGTAGCTATCTGCTGAGTGTATGACTGCCTGGCTTGGGAGGTGAGGATGACTCAGTCTCTCTGCTCAAGGGGCTTGTGGTTGCAGTTGGTAAAGCTGTGGCAACAAAACAGCTGGATGGGTTCAAACAAAAGTGAAGTTGTAGGCCTGACAGGAATCAGGAGCAGATGAGATGTGCAGATTGAGGGCAAGGGAGAACCCTCACAACTCTGGGCATGAGTGTGAACCACGTGAGGGCAGAGAACATGATGGCTTCAGTTACTGTGGATCCCTCTTGCATTTAGCATGTGATCCAGCCTTGTAAATAGCAAGTGAAAGAATGAAGACACAGATAAAAAAAAATGAAGAGAATGAGATGGGATGAGCAAGATTGGGAGAGCTATGAAGGTAGGATTTCCCCTTGCTATGTCTCCAGGACAGTGTCTGGCACACAGCACTCCAGAACATCTGGGCAATGAATGAATGAAATGTCTAGTTTTTGGGTACTGTCAGGGTAGAAACCATGGTTGTCTTAGTCCCTGTTGGGTTACTAACATAATAGGTGTTCAAGTAACATTGGCTCATGCTCCAAGACGCTCTTCGGTCTAGATATGAATCCTGGGGGACCTTCCCTTCTACCTGGTCCCAACCAACCAACTTTGGAGAACCAGTGACAGGCCAGCAGCCTGGAAGCTTTTATAGAAGCCATATGTGTTTTCTTTTTTTCCTCATCTTTTTCCAGTTTGCCTCAGAGGCCTAGCAGGACTCCAGGAAGTGGTTCTCAACTAGAGACAATTTTGTCCTCCAGGTGATAAATGGCCACATTGGGAGATGTTTTTGGTTGTCCTAGCTTGGGATGGGGGTAGGCACAGAACAAAGATGCTGCTACACAACCTAAAAGGCACAGGAAAGTCCCCAACAATGTCCAGCCACAAATGTCAACAGGGCCAGGGTCAAGAAACCCTAACTCCAGGTAGACTAGGTCCTTTTTGTCTCTTCTAGGTGAACTCTGGCTTCATGATGGGAGGGTTAGCACCATGAGGGTGGGCACTGTATCTGTCAATGCTGGGACTTTCACAGTGTTCTTGATACATATTTATGTGTACTTCTTTTTATTTGGTACTGGGCATGGAACTCAGGACCTTGAGCTTGGGAGGCAGGCACTGGAACCACTGAGCTAAATCCCCGGCCCATTGATACACATTTATGGATTTATTGTGACTCTATAGCTTGGGAGGCAGTTCAGTCTTTCTACCTTTCTGAACCTCCTTTTTCACCCTTAATGGCGGCAAGGCCTGCCTCACCTGGCCCTGAATGTATACAGCTGCCCCTTGTTGCCCCAGGCACAGCGCCATCTGGTATCTCTGACCCTGTTCCCACCACCTAGACTTGGCTTTGCAGGGTTCTGTGAAAGGAAGTTTTGAGGAGAGGACATCACTTACTGTTGATGGACTTGAGGTCTCGATGAATGATGGGCACTGGGGCATCATTGTGTAGGTAGTTCATGCCCCGGGCCACCTGCACAGCCCAGTTGACCAGCACATGAGGGGGTACCCGGCGACCTGCCAGCACCCTGCTCAAGGCACCTCCTCGGGCATACTCCATCACCAGGCAGAGGTGAGGGGGGCCGAGGCAGGCGCCCCGCAGGGCAATGATGTTGGGGTGTTGCAGGGCTCCAAAAAGTCGGGCCTCCTGGCGCACCTGCTCCGCGGTCACTGCTGGGTCCCGTTCAGGATCCAGCCGGGCGGCCTTGACAGCTACCTCCTCGCCTTGCCACAGGGCCCGGTAGACCTTGCCAAAGCCCCCGACACCGATGATCTCTTCCAGCTGCAGCTCATGGAAGGGGATCTCCTGGGGCAGCCCGAGGCTAGCGGGTGCGGCAGGCGCGGCGGGGGCCACGTAGTTGCTGGGGAAGACGCCCACACGGCCACTGGGCAACTGCCCGGTCCACCAGCCCTCATCGCCGGACACCGCACAGTCCTGGGAAAGCACCTGGACGCGGTCGCCCCTCCGCAAGGTCAGCTCCTCGTCGCCGACCGCCTCATAGTCGAACACCGCGGTCCAGACGGGCCCCGCGGGGGTCGTGCCCCATTCCTTGGCCGCCGCCCCCTCCTCCTCCTCCATGGGGGAGGGGCCGGGGGGCTGCGGGAGGCCGCTTCACGCAGGCTGCCCGTGGGATCCAGAGGGCAGGCCCGGGCGGCCAGCATGGGGGGCGGTCCCTGCGGGCCCTCGGCGGCTCCTGGGGGCCATGGCCGCGGGAGACTCCGCTGGAGCAAAAAAAACCCCCCAAAACACAAAACCTTAAAAAGGCAGGGTCGGCTGTCCCGGAGGGTCGGGTCGGGAATGGGGCAGCAGGTTCACCTGTCCCTACCCCAAATGTCAGGGCGCTAAGAGGGTCTGGCCGCGCAGGGCCCGCCGGCGGGGGCCGAGGGCGAGGGCAGCAGGTAGCCACCCCTACTCGCGCCTCTCACCCCGCGCAGGTCCACCGGCGGCCCCCGGCTCCGCATCCCCGGGCCACGACCGCCGGGAGGGGCGGAGGTGGCGGGACCCCGGGGGCGGCCGCCCCAGGCCGGGGTGGCGCGCCCCTCGACCTCTTCACGCACGCGGCGCCTTGGCGGCCCCCATCCTCAGCACTGGGCTCCCGGTCGGCCCCAGCCCCTGACCCCCGCCCGCGCCGCTTCCCGGGGCCGCCGGCAGTGCTGGACTGACGCGTCGCCAATGCCGCCGCTGCCGCGGTGCCGCCTGGGAGTTGTAGTCCCCGGCTGCGTGGCCTCGGGCCCGATCCGGCCCGCTAGCCTAGCTGCCCCCTCGGCCGCAGTGGGAAGCCCTCGGGGTCGAAGGAGGCCTCCGATTAGAGAAACCTCGTCTCGGACCCTCCTTAGCGCCCGGTGGACTAGGCGTCTGGAGGAGGGGACCAGCACTTCCCTCTGGCCCCGCGGGGACCGCAATCCAGGATAGGGCTGAGGGAATCGACGCGTTTAGCAAAGCGAAGTATAGAAGCTGAGTGAATGGTGGTTTCTGCCTGGAACCTCGAATGTAGCCAGACAAGGTCCCAGCGCCGGACTGTCCCCTGGGGACCCCTGATCCGAGGTGCACGCCGGGAAATATAGTCCTTCGTCAGGACCCGGCACTGCGGGAGAAGAACCCTAAACCGCGGGCTTCAGGGTGATGGCTCCAGCGAGCTGGGGGACCTGGCCTGTGCAGTGTAGCTAGGGCTAGCCGATGTGTTTACTGTCTTAGGGGATGTCACAGCCACGCCCCCCCCCCCCCCCCCCCCCCCCCCTTCCACAATCAGAACTTCCATTCTGGAAAACCCACCTTTCTTCCTCCCATAATATGAGTTTCCATTTCGATGGGGTTTAATATACAATTTGTGCCAGGTGTTTGCTCACACGATATCATTGGCCAAGGGTACAGAACTATAGATAGCAAAGCAAAGGGCAAAGGGAGCTTTAAAAATTCACCACCATCACCACGATTTTTTTTTATTTTTTTGGTACTGGGGATCGAACTAGACACCATACGCTTTCCAGGCAGGAGGCACCACTATTATTAAAACACCTCCTTCTCACTGAAAGAATGAAGAAATTGAGTCTTGTGGAGGTTCAAAGACTTGTTCCAGACCTGTAAGCTTGTGAATGGCAAAATTTTGGGCCTTGATTTCACTTGGCCTCTTCTGAATGGTCTGGGAGTCAGGAAAGAAGAGAGGAACTGGGGCCCGGGATTTAGCTCAGTGGTGTCGCGCATGCCTTGCAAGCGGCAAGGTACTGAATTTGATCCCCGGTACCGAAAAAACAAAATAAAACAAAAGAAGAGAGGAACTACAATGGAGTCTGTTGTCCAGACTCCAGAGAACAGTCCCTACAGGCTTCACAGGAAGTTCTACTATTCTCAGACGGAAGTCATTCCCCGGTCTCTCTGATAAAGGGTGGTAGGGGCATCAAGAGATGCTTGTTGGAAAAGAGAGGCCTGACTTCATTTTGAGTACAAGTGTTTCTCCTATAACTGATAAACACATTCTTGAAATATCTGGGATGTAAACCAAGTGCAGTAGGATAACAACACTATGGGGGAAAATAGGGACCAATTGCTCAAAATGTATCCAACTTCATAGCAGGAGCACTGTAAACACAATAATCATCCTAATAGAACTGCTAACAAAATTAAATTTCTACGGCCATATGCTGTCAGCAATACTTTGCAACACTGCAAAAGCAGGGGTTTAGCTGGGCATGGTGGTGCACACCTGTAATCCCAGGACACTAGGAGGCTGAAGCAGGAGGATTGCAAGTTCCAGCCCAGCCTGGGCGATTTAAAGAGACCCTGTCTAAAAATAAAAACGAGATTGGGGTGTAGCTCAATGTGAGAGACCTGAGTTCAACTCCTAGTACAGCAAATAAATAATAAAGGCAAGGGCTTTGTGCCTTCTTGGAGATTCTGGTGTGGGGATAGTAACTTTTGATGAAGACCATATTCATCAGAATTTAAAATGAGACTCAAGGTGTAATCTTCTTGATTTGGGGGGATAATCTTGATTAATCTGCTATTTTGATATAGGAGAAGTCTCGTTGCAATTTCTTCATCTGCATTTGCAGCTTTGCCATGTGGTATTACATGGAGGCAAGCATGGTGGTCCTTAAGCCAGCAAACCAGCTCGTTTATCTAAAGGGAGCCGCTTCTGTGGGTTTGTAGGTTTTTTCCCTTATGAAGATCTCCTTTTATTACTAAGATTTCCCCTTCAGCTCTGACAAAACTTGCCTACCCCCATTGCTTCAAAAGATTAACTTCTTGGAGACAATGGCACATTGCCAACTGTGCTTGACATCATTACTCTGTTTAACAAAGCCTTAGGGAGTGGTTCATGTCAACTAAGTAGGTGGGCTGTGGAACAGGTTGTTCCCAAGCAGGGGACTTGGGTGAGGAAAGGGACTTTGCTTGGTTCTAAACCTGGGTGGATGCTACAATGAGAATGGGGAGAAGTGGAATGGAATTTCTCAGTTCCATGAAAATCTTTTGGATTTTGAGTGTAATTGTAATGAGTAAGTTATTAATTTTGGGAAAACTTATATCTTAGCACTAGTAAGTCTTTCATCCTTGGGCATGACTATAATTTCCTTTTGCTACTTTTTTTCCCTCCAGTACTAGAGATTAAACCCTGGGAGCTTTACCATTGAGCTATATCCCCAGCCCTTTTCATTTTTCATTCTGAGACAAGGTCTCACAAAATTGCCTAGGCTGGACTAAAACCTGCTATTCTCCTGCCTCTACCTCTGGAGTACCTGGGTTACCAGGTGAGCACCATTACACCCGGCCCTCCCAGGATACTTTGTACATGCTTTTTTCAGGTCTCTCACTAAGACTTCTTCCTCCCTCCCTTCCTTCCTTCCCTCCCTCCCTCCCTCTTTTCTTTCCTTCGTATCCCCCACCTCCACCCCCACTGGCTTGGAACTAACTATGTACCCCAGGCTGGACTTGAACTTGTAGCAATCCTACTTCAGCCTTCTGAGTGCTGGAATTACAGGACTGTACCATCACTCCCAGCTTTACTTATTTATGACTGAGATTTTAAAATTTTTTCTAATGCTGTTGACTTTTTAAAATGCTGATCTAGGATTTGACTACTTTGTTGAACTCATTCTTACTCAGTTTAGAATAGCTTCACAGATACTTCTCACTTTTCTAGTTAGATGTTGGCAAAAAAAATATCACTTCAGCATTTCCAATCCTTATCTCACCTCTGATCCGCTCTTCCCCTTTGGCTAGGAGTTCCAATACGGTGTTGAATGATAATGATATTAATGGCAGTTCTTGTCTTACTCTAGACTTTTAAAGGAATAATCCTAAGATTTCACTATTAAGTATGATATTTTCAGTAGGTTTTTAGAAGTCCTTTATCTCATTTATTATGCTGTATTACTAATTTTCTAAGAGCTGAAAACATGTTGAATTTTGTCAAATGTTATTTATTTATTTATTTTTTGGTACCGGGGCTAGAACTCAGGACCTTGCACTTGTGAGGCAGGTGCAGTGCCACTGAGCTAAATCCTTGGCCCTTTTTATGCATTTATTAATGTGACCTGATGAGTTTTCTGCTTTTATTATTATTATTATTTTGTTTTTTGAGACATTGTCTTGCTATGTAGTTTATTTATTTATTTATTTATTTGGTACTGGGGATCGAACTCAGGTCTTCACGATTGCAGGGCAGGCGGCGGAACCACTGAGCTAAATCCCCAGCCCTCTTGCTATGTAGTTTAGGCTGATGTTGAACTCACTATGTAGCCCAGGCTGACCTGGAACTCATGGTGATCCTCCTGCCTCAGCCTCCTACTTGCTAGGATTACAGGTGTGCACCACCACGCCTGGTTAGTTTTCTGCTTTTAATTTGTTAATGTGAAACTTTCACCAGCACCAGATTTTATTTTATTTTTTCCATATAGGGTATTGAACCCAGGGCCTTAACACTGAGCTACATCCCCAACCTCTTTTTTATTTTTTATTTCGAGACAGGGTCTTATTGCATTGCTGAGTTGCCCAGGCTGGGTTCAAACTTGCAATCCTTCTGCCTCAGCCTCCCAGAGTTCTGGGATTATGAGTGTGCACCAACCACATCTGGCTCAGATTTGATATAATATTTAATTTGTGGTGTTTTACATTTGTTTTAAAAGATGGAATTGGGTCGGGGATTTTCGCTCAGTGGCACTGCCCCTACCTCACCTGAGTTCAATCCCGGTACAAAAAACCCACAAAACCCAAAAAACAAAAAAACTGGAATTGGAATGGTTTTCTTTCTCACGCTATGCTTGCCCAGTTTGGGCATTAGGGCAGTACTGCCCTGCTCAGTGGGTTGGAGAATCACGTACCTTTTCCTGCGATCTGGAATCTTTGACAAATGTTGGAGTTATGTGTTTTTGTCCACTTGGTAGAATTAAGATTACCCATGCCACTGCCTTTCTGATAAGTTTCTGACTACAATTCTAACATCTGTGGATACTGGCTTATTCGGTTTTATTACTT